TGTGTGTGTGTGTGTGTGTGTGTGTGTGTGTGTGTGCGGTCACCGACCTTATAAGGACATTCACAGTTTCGGTCAGTTCTCCCATAATACATCAGGTGTGACTTGTTGATGATGCGTATGATCAGACGATGCTGGACGGCGCCCCTAGCAACGCTGCGATGACCAGACAGGAAGGAGTCACGCAGCTCAGACACTGTCACAGCAGGTCGTTGCCCTGACAACACACACACACTTACTTGATTTTACCATTTTAATGAAACGTTCAATCCAAACTAACAAAACATTTTTTTACTTGAAACATGAAACTTAATCGATGTTTTTATCATTTTCAAACACAAACAATGACAATCCCACCTTCCTCCTCCTCTTCATCGTCTCCATGTTCCGCCTCTTCCTCAGTGGGCGGGGCTTCCCTCCACACCTCCCCGCTGTAGTCCACATTGTTCCACTGAGGGAGGAACACGCTCCTGCTGGCTCTCAGAGGAACCAGAGGACCTGTGGGGTCAATCAACCAGTTTAACGGTTCTACTCCACAGACTGTAAATACAGATACAACGACATGACGGCTCCTAACAGTGAAGTGTCTTGGCCCCCCCTGGTGGCCGGCTGTAGTACATGTCATGGACATGGACCAAACTACGAAGAACTAAATAAACATGAAATAAATGTTCGTCAAAGACGTGTTCAGTCATTTCAGGTGGTTCTTATCACACTGAGGTTTGATTTCCTCTCTGACTGTACCTGCAGCGTCTGAGGCTCCAAACCAGGGCAGAGAGTCTACGTCCACATCAAACCTCCTGACTCCATCGTCCTCATCATCACCTCTGACCTCCACGCTCTCCAGTCTGTAGCTGCAGGAGCAGAAACATTGACCCCGATCCGTCATGACACACCGACACGTTCACCTGTCACTCACTCACCTGTCCGTCTGCGCAGAGGCCCTGGGGCATGCTGGGTGCTGAGCGCTCATGGCGGGGGCGAAGGTGGCATTCCGAAGCGTTGATCCGGGCCGCAGGACGTTCCTCTCCACCAGCCGGTTCAGACCAGGATCCAGAGTCACCTGAAGCCTGCAGTCGCCGTCTGTCAGCGTGATGTCATACAGGTCGTCACCTGGAGTGAACAGAGACATCAGAGACATCAGAGACATCAGGGACATCAGGGACATCAGGGACATCAGGGACGTTACAGTCAGCGATGTATGTCAGAGTGTGAAGGCTCATTTACAGAGACAGACTGTTCTTCCTCTCATTCTGTCCGTACTGTCTGAATGTCTTACAGATCAGGACAAAACAAAAGAGACAGAGCAGCACCACGGGAAGGGGGGGGGGGGCTGTCAGAGACTCTTGAGTCTGTGTTGCCCTCTAGTGGAAGTGTTGCTGAACAACCATGCCAACGTAAACACACGCTGCAGCATGTGGGCAGTGACGGAATCGTACCTGTGTGTTTTTGTAAGTGAGCCTGTGGACGTGTGTTGTGTCTCACCGCTGAGGACAGCCTGGGGGAAGTAGACGGACGAGCCCTGGTCTCTGCTGTAGCGCTGCAGGTCCACCACGGACAGGAAGTCCCTGCAGACGGCGGGAGAGGACGAGGACTCCTGCGAGACAAAGACGAGGAGACATCAACCAAACATACGAGGATCCGTAAACAGGGAGAAGTTAGTTTGAAGCCGCTGGTGTCGATGATCTGGTTCAATGAAGTGAATTCATTCTACATGTTACACACATGTTACACACGTGTTGGAGGAAAACATGATCTGACCTGGTTGGGTCCGGACCGGGACCTGGACCGGGACCGAGTCAGGGTTCTGTGGAAGACGCAGCCCGCAGCCGCCATGTTGGACAGGCGACAATAACAGTGCGGTGCATTGTGGGAGAGAGCGCAGTCTTATATACTGTCTCTATGTTAAATCAATGATATCTTTATTCTTCTTTAGTTCTTTAATCATGATATTTTTTATTTCATTATAACAGAGCAATTTCTAAAAAAAACAGTTTTGTGAAAATATGTTCTTTTATATTTTTATCATTTTACATTTTACACCGAACCTTAATGACAATAAACATGAAATAAACTCTATGACCTGAACCACACTGAACATTAATATTACATTGATAAATCAGCAGCATCGTCTGATTGATTGAATTTGTACAAATAACAGAATATTTAACCAACAACTTGATGAACAAAGCAACACAAAGTCAAAGTTTAACAAACTTCTGACCTTTGACTAAATCTGAGGCGATGACATCACAGTTTAGAAACATAAACGTCACACCTCCTGTATTTAAAGTTCTGGTATCAGAGAATACGATTCATCAGTTTTATGTTGAGGGGCTGATTTTCATGATTTTATGTTCCAATGAGCAAATTAATGTAATAATGTTTTACTGACATTATAAAGTGAGAAGTCATTTTCTCATTGAGAAATCCTGCCACCTGCTGTTCCCACACTTTCCTGTTGCTGTGAACGAGTCTGACCTAAACAATCTCCTGCTGCTTCTTCATATATAGATCACAAATCCAGAAAATGTCCAGACACTACAGAGTACATGTCTGAAAACTTTCTTTGATTTAATTAAACATTTAAACGTGAAGACATGGTGACGTGTGATTAGCTGAGAGTCAGAGGATGATCTTCAAACCTTTAATTGACATGTTAAAGTTTATTTAACATTAAAACTGAGTGGAACACAGGAACAGTTCTGTCTGACACTGATGACACCAGGTCAAAGGTCGTGACCTCCACTCTCTCTGTACCTGTGTCAGGTTTGTGTTCTGCGTGTGAAGTGCTGCGAGTCTCTGAACTCCAGGTAGAGGTTGAATAATAGGTGCAGAGACTGGATCCTGCTGCTGTGCACGGGGACGTCCAGCAGGGCGCAGACGAGGTCGACGTACTGCGTCAGGCTGCAGTTGAGGCGAGCGGGCGGCAGCTGCAGACGCCCAAGTAGCTCCTCTAGCTCGCCTGGCCACTCCTGCATCAGGCTGTCGATGTCAGGCATCGCGCGGCCATAGTGAACGCTCGCTGCTGGTTTGGAGCGGTGAAGCGCACTGATGCTCTCCACCCAGCTGTCCACCGCCCGAGGAATCGACTGAGGACTTGCCACGCTCGTCACCTTCTTCAGCTGAGGACGTACAGACAGGACGATTAAAGACGGGACACGGACAGATGAGACAGGTGTATGTGTGTGTTTGAGTATGTTTGTATACATGTGTATATGTTTGTGTGTATAAATATATGTACCTCTGTGGCTCCGTGTTGTTTGGTTTCCTCTGACAGCCACAGCGACAGAACCGTGGGGTCAGACTGTTTCACACTGGGCTCATCCAGAGCCAACAGACCCAGAGCGTCCGTTTTACCGTCCGGCCTCGGCACCTAAACACATCACAGGTCACACTGAGGTCAGAGGTCATGGGGGGGTAAACACCACCTGTCGCTCCGCTCATGGCCTCAGGACTCTGGACTCGGGCCTCGTAAACATCAGTGCTCATGTGTTTATTATCAAACACTGTTTGGTGTGTTTTTACTTTCACAATAAAAGTCCTGGTATCGAGAAGCTGGAGGAGGAAGTGATGTCAACAAAGCGACGTACCTTCAGGAAGGCGTCGATGTCTCCAACAGCTGGGATGAAGTCCGGGATGAAGGGTTTCAGACTGTGATCCAACTCGATGGACTGAGGAGTGTAACTGAAGGGGACAGAGATGGAAATCAACACTGAGACTTTTGAAATGATTTAACTGAGTCACTGTAGCGCTGCTCGTCTCACCGTGTGATGTACTGGAACAGCTCTTTGACCTCCGTGCTCACAGGCAGGTTGGCGTAGTCAGCGGGGTCATACGCCCCCTCCGGAGCCTGCCCTGGTTCATCGTCATCGTCTGTATCATCTTCATCAGAGTCGTCATCCTCCTCTTCTTCATCCTCTTCCTCTTCCTCCTCCTCGTTCGGACTGGTCCCAGGCTGCCTGCTGATTGGCTCTTTGGTCCTCTGAGGCTTGTGGTCCTCGTCAAACTCGTCGCTGCTGCTGTTGGCAGACATCAGGCCACGCCCCTCCCGACTCCTCCTGGAGTGTGACTGACAGGACAAGTGACCAATCAGAATGTGACTGTGAAAATATCATGGTCCTAAGAGGACAGAACAAACTGAACTAAACAAAGATCACCTCAGAGGAAAGATGCTTCACTCTGACACAAGTTTCTGCAGCTCAAACATGGACCAAACTTATATGTTGTTTTCTAACATAAAGGAGGAGGGGGTTATCAGCCATGCTGCCGCGATCCAGGCGATTTGGCTTCACTTTAGGGAGCTGTCATATCATCCATCATTATTAAAAGTCAGCTGTGCCTCAATTCCGAGGCTGCAACCAACTATCCCAGGATTCATTGCACTTCGATGGCAAACTATTCTCAACGGTACAAACGGCCAATGCTTGGTGCACATGTTCTAATCTGTTGCTGGGTTACAGCTGTAAGGGCAGGACTAGGTTGTGATGCCAATTAAGGAAATCCTCTGTAGACCAGACGTCTCCTTTGGGGGCTGCATGGATCTGATCTGGAATTGAGGCGCAGCTCACTTCTCAGCCGGTCACATGTATTAAGCCAATCAGTGACTAAACACGTGTGTGGACCTCTCAGATCCATCAGGTGACCTCTGGAGGGGCCCGAGCTCTATGTTGACAACCAGAGGACCAAACATGAGTAGATCGTACATCAATAATGATCTGATCAGGGATCAGTCAGATTATTCGACATCATTAACAGTAACTAATGAGCTGAACGTGTGAAACGTTGCTTTAACCTTCGTCACAGAGTAAATGAAACTTTACAATAAATCTCAGCCGGTTCAAACTGTTCATGTTTCTCTCTGGTTCAACCACCAACACTGGAGGATGAACCACACAGCCGGGTCCGGTGGCCCCGGGCCGGGCTCTGGGTGTTACCTGACGCTGGCCGCGGGGAGTCGGGCTGGAGACACTCGCCACCTCCTCGGAGTCGACCACCTCCAGGCTCTCGTCGTACGGCTGGTTGTCCAACAGGCGGGAGTCTTTCCTCCGGTCAGTCCGCTCCATAGGACACCGAGCGATCACCGGGCAGCACACATGTATCCACCGGAGACTCAACCGTTTATCTGTCCGGTAAAAACCGACGATCCGCCGCTCAGACCGAGTTTCTGTCCCGTTAGCAACAAACCTCTCGTTGGGCTAACACTAGCCGCCTAGCAACAAACCGAACCGGAAGAGGTTCCGAGGAGTCGGAGGCTGTGAACACCGCGAGCTCCGGAACTAAAACACAACAAATCGTTTGTTTCGACCTTTCAAACGTTAAGTTACCGGATAAACTCAGTTTTAACGCGACTCTCCGCTGTTACCGTCCGCGGCTAAAACTCCACGACCGACGGGACCCGAAAGGTATCCTGGCAACCGACCGTGCAATGCATTATGGGTATTGTAGTCAGATTTGACGGAGAGCGTTTCTCTCATTTAAAGAGTATTTTTATGATCATATA